GATAAAACCATAGATGAAAAAAGAAAGTCTTCATAATTTCTCTGTCCTGTAGAAGTTCCGTGGCACACCAAATTCCATACTCCATGTTCTCTTTCCGTCGAATGTGACGTGACAATGCAGACTTGGAGCAGGTGCATTCTGGTCTGTCAGTAAGACGCTGGCCGAGAGAGTGTAGTTCATCACAGCCAGCTCTGGCTTAACCCCAGGTGGGCTATCAAACCACTGCGAGACGCCAAGCATCCCGCGAGTTGTTGGCTACCAAGAACTCAAGCTAATCGAGACAAATGGTGGAGGCTCGAGGGCAAGGAATCCAGCAACCGCTACTAACGCCAGAGAGAGGCAACAGATTCACTGTGCAGAAAGAGAAACTGCTTACCAACTAACTCTTTGCTTTCTGAGTGGTCCATTACGTACTCAAGCATTTAATCATTTCTATTTGAACCCATCAATCATATCATCTTCATGGATTAGGCTGTACGTGGTCTGTTCCCTCCTCTTGAAGAGTGCGTGGTTGATGTCCCCATTTTAACTGTTGGCTTGCTATGTTTCTCTTTTTATTTTGGGGCGGGGGAGCGGGTTATGTGTTAGAATTTAGTTCAGAACCCATCTGTTTTCTATTTTTACATGTGTTATTTCCGTTGTGATCTGAATTCCATAATTGAAGCGTTTAGGCTTAAGATATTCAGTTCTTTCAGCACATCTTATTCGGTTTTAACTTGGGTAGCCTGCTACACTCCTCAAGAATTTCATTTCTGCATCCTTATCAAACGCCTTTATTAATGTCTATAGGACTATTGTCATTACTCTGCCGGTCAGTGCCCGCGCGGTCTAAGCCATGAAATGTCTTCGCTCGCCGGAACGCTGGGATCGTGGGTTCGAATCCTATACAGGACATGGACACTTGGTGTGTGTATTCTTTTCTGTGTTTGTGTTATGCTGTGTTTAGATATAGGCCTTGCTATGTGCTCATCCCCCGTCCAAGGAGTCCTACCGTCTATGAAAAATGATTACGGAAGTGAATAAGAGGCCTTGGCCATGGATGGACTGGAAGAGCCATTTGGAAAAAAATTACCACTACTCTCTCTCTCTCTCTCTCTCTCTTTTCTTATAATTATGGTTGTATTTTTTATATACTTTGCGCTGTTCTTATTAAATATTTCGGCAGTCTCAGTTCTGCAAGTATTTCCCATAATTTGTTTCGTGAAACCGAATCTTATCCTCTTACATAGTCTGCGAAAAGCTACGGGCGTTCAAGCCCAGCATTCGATTCTCGTCATGGGCAAGGCTTTCTCGCAGCCATCTGGCACGGAACCAATCATTTTATTGGCCGAACTATATTGACTCACATTTTTTTTGGTATTATGATACAGTTTTATTTTTTGTGTTATAAGGAGAATATACTGAACACTTGACGGCGTAGCGCATATAAAACACACTACGAGGTAGCAAAGGATGCAGAACGAAACAAGTAGACGTTTCATGTGAAGAAGGCTGTGGGATTCCAGCTGTTGAATCACATGCTTCTCTGCTGACAAAAGGGAAAGAGCCGCTGCCTCATAACTAATTATAATACTGAAGACTGGAGGTAGCAAAGCCAGAAAGATGACTTCTCCATTCCGAATAATACTCTTGTGTATGCTATTTGTTACGCTTCAGCGGCACTTTCGTGATAAAGAAGTCACTAGAATCAACAAGGCTCGTACAAAAACTCGTAATAATTAATCACCAAGTACAGTGTACGGGTCCCATTCTTATGATTCTGATGGGAAGGCTATGCCACATTCAGAGCCAGCTTCGAGTATAACTACAGCAGGCTCGGTAATAATTGAATGCTTCTTCGCTGCTTCTTCCACAGTGACTTTGTTGCTGTTTTGTGTGGAGTAGGCGTAAGGAATATTATTACGTTTGCTCTGACTGAAATCACAGCGGGAGAAACGATTTGTAAGGCGTCGAATGGATGAAACTCAAGATTAATATTAGTTTTCAGTTTAAATTTGGGTTATGAATCACGCAGACATGATTACGGTGTCAAGTTTGAGGCTCCTACAGCGGAGATTATGAAATGTTATCTTCTGTGATGTGACCCCGTGTTTCAGAGTATATTTTTTCAGTTTCAGTATTCCTAGCTTATGTTTCTTCACTTTGAGTTTCTCTGGGAACCCGTATCTGAACACAGATTTCTGCCCGCGACTCGCACAATTTGCTTATTGCTGTTGCCTGATTTAATTTTTATTCCTGAAGATGGAGGCATCAAATTCCGCTGAAATACTAGTAAAGTTATACTGGACTACATACTCATCTCAGTCCTTTTTGTAACTATTTCTAAATGCAGTATTTAGATAATTCTTTCTCAGACAATTTGTTTTCATCGTTGAATCATGGAATGTGATGCATGCATGACCCAGAAGATGTCAACTAAATTTGTTTCGAAATCTAGACCAGAAGAAATCCCTCTTCATTATTATTATTATTACTGTGACGCGTTATCTCACGTCCATCGCCGCGACAACCGCTACAATCGAAACGGACACTTCCACGACAACGATTACGTGGAAATTTTGGAGTTAACGCAGAGACAAATCGTAGCAACGAATTGTCGTTGAGTGACAACGGATGAGACGAAACGCGTTACCGGAGTATTCTATAAGGAGCGTTCAAGAAGCAACGAATTGCTGAACACGTGAGATCTAACCTTGGCGACGGGTGTCCTCTATTGAGTCCGCGTGCGGCTTATACGTGTATAAAGGGCCCGGCCTCGAACGGAGGAGATTTAAGACTTCCATTTTCGTCGCCTCCTACGACTCGCAGGGTCGTAGGAGGCGACGAAAAGGGAAGTCTCAAATCTGAGACAGTAAAATATGGTCGCGAGTCTCAAGGGACTCGAACCCGAGAAAGACTGCGCTGGTAAGGGACAGCAGCTTATATAGAAGACAGACCCGTCCTCTCGTCAGAGAGGGCGCCCCACAAAAGCAAGACTGTAAATGTCAAATAGTAATAAATATCTGGTCATGAGCCCAAGATGGAGCTCGACACCAGGACTTACTGACTGACTGACCGTCAGTCGCAATGTGACTTGGACTTCGGAGGAAATCCCCGTATGGAGGCGGGGTCGAATACCTCCACCGTGAACCTGCGAGTCGTAAGAGGAGACGAAAAGGGAAGTCTCAAATCTGAGACAGTAAAATATGGTCTTGAGTCCCAAGGGACTCAGATCCGAGAAAGACTGCACTGGCAATGGCCAGAAGCATATACAAAAGGCAGACCCGTCCTCTCGTCAGAGAGGGCGCCCTACAAAAATAAGACCGTAAATGCCAAGCACTAATAAATATCTTGTCATGAGCCCCAGTTGGAACTCGACACCAAGACTTACTGACTGACTGACCGTCAGTCGCAATGTGACTTTGACTTGGACGGAAGTTGAGTATTAGGCCAGAAGTCAAGTGATACTGCAAGTGGTAATAATTGTAAGGAGTGTAAGAGTGTCCAATAAAGATTCTGAAAATCCGAGACCCACGTGAAGTTATTTGTCGCGTGACATACACAACACGTGACAGTATTATAGTTCCTGTGGATGTAGTAAGGTAATTGAAACGAATTTTTTAGGGCAAAAAATCATTTGAGCAGTTACTTATACATTCTTTGCACATAGTTAGACAATAAGCAAATAATATGAAGGTGGAATTTGTTTGTCTTCCGTTATTCAGTATTTTAAATATCTGAAATAGTGGAAGAATTTCGATTAAATTTGGTATTGGTCTTCATTGAAAAGTGTTGGATGTACGAGTAATTAATCTTGGTCCCAATCGCGAAAATACAATTAGTAACTTACTCGAAATTTAAATTTAAATTCATTATATTGTGGCCCAATATATATTCTTTTTCAGGAGCTGCTAATCGTGTAAATATTTTAGCATAAATAAAATGGATCCTCACTAAAATCGGCAACTTTTAATTACACGTTTCTTTATGTGCTCTATAATTAAGGAGACAGAAACAAGCCGCACTTTGTCTTATCTTAGCTTCGCAAAATCAGATTTGGCCGTTCACAGTGGCCGCGCGGTCTAAAGCATGAACTGTTTTTGCCCATTCGAACACTGGGATCGTGGATTCGAATCTCACTCGAGACATGGATGTCTGTGTGCGTTTATTCTGTGTTTGTGTTGTTCTGTGTGTAGGTAACGGCCTTGCGATGGGCTGAGCCATCAAAGAAGTCCTGCCGACTGCGTATAGGATCAAGGAACTGAAAAAGCGGCCAGGGTCCGAAGGGCTGCAAAGTCATAAAGAGAGAGAGAGAGCTAGAAAGCTGTTCTTGTTTTGTAACGACCTTAAGATATAAGAGGAAGAGCCGTTTATGTAAATTATGGGAAAATTATCCTTTATAGTTAGGGTATAATGAATCATTCGCTGTCTTAAACGTTCAGGGAGTTAAGAGATATTTACATGGCTTTAATGTAGATATCTCTTACATCTACAGGTTTATTTGAAACTTTTTGTTATGGTGAATATTAGAGAAACACATAGGAAATGTCTTACTTTGTTCTATATGATTTTGCCGCCATTAGATTTGCAACTACATATTTTTATGCGCAATATATTAACGCCTAAGCCGAAATATGCCGAAAGGAGCAAAGGACACATTTAGAAAACATGTACTCCACTACAGCAAAACTCTCAAACCTTGTTTACGTGAAATAACTCTTCAGAATGTTCAAATTGTTCTGTTATTGACTCAGCAACTTCCCGTTTGCCTGTTTTTCAGTTTACCAATTAAATCTTAATGCAGTTTGTTTACACACGTCAATGCCAATACTGTGTTTCACAGTCTGCGATTTGAGAAGGGGAGCTCACTGGGCCAGAACCCAAAATGTGTCTATTCAGATGCTGGGAGGGGGGAGGTTTACCCGCACCGACGCTGGTTTCGGCTGCTGCCGCCTGCAATCGGGTGGGTCTCATGCTCTCAGCCGGATGGTCGGCAAGCCAGGCGAGCTGGTACTGTCGCCAGTTGCGGTGCGGCCGTGGTGCGTAGTAGTCGTGTGAGTGGTTGTGCGAGCAGGCGGTCTATGGTTTGCTGCAGTTATCGCAGTTACTGCATCTGTCTCTTCGCTTCGACGCAGACTTTTTTTTTTCTAAATTCCGTGTGCTTAGTGTTGGTGATGATGGTCGTCATATGTTTGGCAGCGGCCATGGTGGGAGGTATATGAGGGGTGGTTAGTTGACGGCGCCTGTCAGAGCGACGCTAGACGTCGCCCATGCCGGTTGTGCTCTGGCAGTAGGGAACACAATTAGGCGGTTATGTGATAACGAGAAGTCCCTCCACCACAGTATTTCGCTTTTCATCTGGATTTTTTATTCGTGAGTAATGAGTGAGACTTGTCGCTACGACAGTGTTCTTATACCGCTGCTGGTGTGATATCGACATAATTATGAGTGTTTGTTCCTGTTCATCTTGACCCATTTTATTATCTTTTCGGACAAAATATGGAAGAACCGCTGCTGACTGGAGCCTTAAGGCTGATAGTGTGTGTAGTGTTATGTCACAGCGCATGGGGCGCCTCGGAACAACAGACGCCGGCCGCGCCGTCGCTCCGATACGAGGCTCCGGATGATTGTCAGTGGTGGATCCGTGAGACGTCCGGTTCCGGCGGTGATGAAGTGGCTCTCACATGCAAGCTTCGCACTATCAACAGTGAGTTTGATACAACCAACTTCAGTGTCATCCCGTCTGAACACACGACCTCGCTGCGAATAGAATGCAATAATATGTTGATGTCACGGAGTTCACTGGATGATAGCAGTTTCGTACACCTGACACGCCTCCGCGAATTGGTGCTGGATCACTGTAAACTAGGGAGATGGCCCAAGGGAACGCTAACGGGGCTTCGAGACCTGAGGAACCTGACAGTACGTACCTGGAACACGGACTGGCCGGCCATGAGTCTGGAGTTATCTCCCGAGAGTTTCTCTCCCGTGCGGCAACTTGAGAGACTTGACCTCAGCTATAATAACATCTGGTCCTTCCCTGAGAACGTCTTTTGTCCGCTTTCGAACCTCGTGAGTTTGAACATCAGTCGTAATCGACTGCAGGACATCAGCGAAGTGGGATTCCGCGAGAAAGCGGCACCGCCACAGCCGCTGGTCAGTACACAGGAGGAGGAAGGCGCCCTAGCCCCCGCAATTTCACCGCCAGCCTCCTCACCTTGCGGCTTGGACATCCAAGTACTGGATGCTTCGTGGAACCACTTCGTTTTGATACCCACCAATGGATTCAGCACCCTCCGTAGGCTGCGTGAGCTTCATCTTCACGACAATGAGATCTCCATGGTGGCAGATCGCGCTCTGGGAGGACTTAAAGGCCTTCAAGTGTTTGATTTGTCTAACAACAAAGTAGTAGCACTCCCCCCTGAACTATTTCGTGACTCAGCCCCCATAATAAAGGAAATATATCTGCAGAACAATTCCATTAGTGTTCTAGCGCCGGGACTGTTCGCAAATTTAGGTCACCTCTTAGCTCTGGATCTGTCGCGCAACCAACTGACAAGCGCATGGATTAACAGTGGCACGTTTTCTGGCCTCATTAGGCTCGTTCTTCTCAATCTGTCGCATAACCGGATATCGAGACTGGACCCTACGTTTTTCCGTGATCTTTACACTCTCCAGATTCTAAACCTGGAACATAACCAGCTCGAAACCATTCCAGCGGACACCTTCGCGCCTATGAACAATCTGCATACGCTTGTCTTATCTTATAACAAAATTAGTTACTTAGACGCGTACTCACTTAACGGTTTGTATGTACTCAGTCTCTTGTCCCTGGATAATAATCTGTTGGAAAATGTGCATCAGGACGCTTTTAGAAATTGCAGCAGCATCCAGGACTTGAACCTAAACGGAAACACCCTGTCTACAGTGCCCTTAGCCCTGAAGGATATGCGACTTCTTAGGACAGTAGATTTGGGTGAGAACGCAATTACCAATCTTTCCGATCCGGGTTTCAAAGGTATGTCTAATCTATATGGGTTACGCCTCATAGGCAATCAAATAACTAACATAACGAAAAATATATTTGCCGATCTCCCTTCATTGCAGATACTGAATCTCGCTCGTAACCGTATACAGAGAGTGGAACATGGAGCTTTTAGTGCGAATTCGGACTTACAGGCTATTCGTCTGGATGCTAATTTATTGACAGACATCAATGGCTTGTTTGTTGACATATCGAGCCTGTTGTGGCTTAACATCTCGGACAACCAATTGGAGTGGTTTGATTATGCGCTGGTGCCGCTGGGTTTACAGTGGTTAGATCTTCACAAGAACTACATAAAAGAGCTGGGAAATCATTACGAGTTGGGTTCGGAGCTCAGAATCCAAACACTAGACGCGAGTTTCAACAAACTGACGCGTGTGACAGCCAATTCGATCCCTAACAGTGTGGAACTACTGTTTCTGAATGACAATCTTATCACAACAGTGGAGCAACACACATTTCTGAAGAAAACGAACCTGACACGTGTGGACCTGTATGCAAATCAGATAGTGAGTATGGATCTCAGTGCCCTGAGGTTGACTCTTGTTGACAAGGATCGCCCGTTGCCTAATTTTTACATCGGCGGGAACCCGTTCCAGTGTGACTGTACCATGGAGTGGCTGCAACGGATCAATAAGCTGGGCCATCTTCGTCAGCATCCACATGTTATGGATCTTGAAAGCATTTACTGCAAGCTGATGTACAACCGTTACCGCACCTACATACCACTAACTGAAGCCGAGTCCTCCCAGTTCCTCTGCACCTACAAGACGCACTGCTTCGCCCTGTGTCACTGTTGTGACTTTGATGCTTGTGACTGCGAGATGACTTGTCCCAGCAACTGCACCTGTTACCACGACCAAACATGGTCTGCCAACATCGTGGAATGCTCCGGGATAGAATATACAGAAATGCCTAGCAGCATCCCGATGGACGCTACTGAGGTGTACCTGGACGGAAATAATTTTGGCGAACTCTCCAGTCATTCGTTCATTGGGCGCAAGAATTTGAAGGTTCTGTACGCAAACAACTCGAACATAGCTGCCATATACAATCACACGTTTAGCGGCCTGAAGCGCCTAACAGTGTTACATTTGGAGAACAATCGAATCAAGGAGTTGCTAGGGTTCGAACTCGAGAGTCTTACTAGCCTCCGCGAGTTGTATCTGCAAGGTAACCAAATCCACGTCATTGACAACAGGACATTCACGCATCTGGAGCACCTCGAAGTCTTGCGAATTGACGGAAATCGCCTGTCCACTTTTCCAGTCTGGCAGTTTACGTTGAACCCTTATCTAGTTGAGATAGGACTCGGCGAGAATCAGTGGTCGTGCGATTGTCAGTATCTCCACCGATTCCGTATCTGGCTTCAAGGTAACTTTGTTAAGGTTGTGGATGCAAACAAAATAGCCTGCATGTTTAACAACGTGACGCATGTCGTTGGGCCGCCGCTTGCAGACTTTAACTCAAGTTCTTGTGCTGCGTTTACTGGCGGCTCTACTGCTGTAGTGGAGAATAAAGTCATAAATGATTACCTCCCCCTCCTCTTGGTTACGTTGTGTGTGTTCCTCGCTTGTGCCGGGCTAGCTTGTGGGGCATTCTACTACCGACGTGAACTTCGCGTCTGGGTGTATTCTCGATGTGGGCTCCGCATGTGCTACAAGACGACAGCCTTTGAAGAGGAACAAGACCGCGACAGGCTGTTCGATGCTTACATCAGCTACAGCGTTAAGGATGATGCTTTTGTAAGCCAGGTACTAGCACCGGGTCTCGAACAAGGGGACCCCACCTATCGGTTATGTCTCCATTACCGTGATTTCAACATGAGCGCTTATGTGGCGGATACTATAATAGAAGCGGTGGAATCCTCGCGAAGAACAATAGTAGTATTATCCAAAAATTTCCTCCATTCAGAATGGTGCCGTTTCGAATTTAAATCGGCGCTACACGAGGTACTGAAAGACAGGCGTCGGCGTCTAGTTATTATTGTGTTGGGGGAGTTACCACAGAGGGATCTAGACCCAGACTTGAGGCTGTACCTCAAGACAAACACGTGTATAGAGTGGGGAGACAGACTCTTCTGGCAGAAGCTAAAGTTCGCAATGCCGGATGTTAAGAAAAACTCGTGTAACTCAAACCGGGAGTCTACCCGACACCACCGTCAAAGATCGTCATTGAACCTGTACTCAGCGACATCTACAGGGCCTCCGAGTTTTGATAGAAGTAGGAGCCCTGTTCTGTCACCGTCCCTACCTCTGCCACCACAGCCTCCTGCAGGGAAGTTGTTGCCAGCCTTCCTGCATCACCATCAGAACAACCTGCAGACTGCGGAGCGAGAGTTGCCTCGACGTATCGCCCAGCCGCTGTGGGCGTAGCGGCTGTTCCGCCGCAGGTAAGCCGCTGTCTCAGAAAACTTGTTGCTTTCCTTAGGTTTGAACATTGAATCTCTTGAATATGAAATAGAAGTATTGCGTCAATTTACCCATGAAAATTTGATCTGAATGTCTGCTATGCACGAAATTGAAACAGTGACTCATAAACGTCAATCCTTATCGTTCGTCATGTCCCCCTGCCGAAATTTCATGCTGATATTTAATTTATTTACGAAACTTTCTGTGAGTGTCAGATATTTTAGTTCTCTTATTTATTCTCAAAATTCTTAGGCACAATATTCCGTGTAATCTGTCTGAGAATCTCATTTGAAGATGTGTAAAACAAATTACAGTGTGATGTAACTATATCGATATATTTGAAATTATAAAACTGTAGAGCTTCATAACTTGCACTCCTCTCCAAGTATAATTAGAATGATCAAGTCAAGGAAGATGAGGTGGGTATGGCATGTAGCACGAATGGGGGAGAAAGGAATGCATATAGGATATTGGTGGGAAAGCCAGAAGGAAAGACATCACTTGGAAGACCAAGGCGTAGGTGGGTGGACAATATTAAAATGGATCTTAGAGATATAGGATGGGATGGTATGGATCGGATTGATCTGGCTCAGGATAGGGACCAGTGGAGGGCTCTTGTGAACTTGGTAATGAGCCTTCGGGTTCCATAGTATGCTGGGAAATTCTTGAGTAGCTGCAGGTTTCGCTTCTCCTCAAGAAGGGCTGAGCTCCATAAGTAAGTAAGTAATTTTGTAGCGCTATAGTCCGAAAAGAATCGTTTGCAGGGGATTATTTACGTTTTCTCCTAGTGCTTTTTCTGATTTATTGGCTTTTAACGGAGTTACATTAGAAAAAACATAGTAACTTCCCATCCAACATAACTAAGCCTACATGAAACCGATTTCATGTGCATATGCAGCAAACAGTCACACCATTTCAGTTGCAGTTATTCGTCTAGCGTATATTAGACCAAAAATGCAGGGCAAAATCATGACATGAAGATAGGAAAAAGATGTTTTGGAAATGTGGCACAGTTCAGATATTTGGGAACAAAGATATCAGATCGAAACCTGATTCAGGAGGAAATTAAGAGGAGATTGAACTCGGGTAATGCTTGCTACCATTCAGTTCAGAACCTTTTGTCTTCTCGTCTGCTGTCCAAAAACATAAAAATTAGAATATACCAAACTATAATTTTGCCTGTGGTTCTGTATGGGTGTGAAACTTCGTCTTTGACATTAAGGGAGGAACATAGACTGAGGGTGTTTGAGAACAGGGTGTTGAGGAGAATATGTGGACCGAAGAGGGATGAAGTTACAGGAAGTTGGAGAAAACCTCATAATGAGGAGCTTCATAACTTGTACTCTTCTCCAAGTATAATTAGAATGATCAAATCAAGGAGGATGAGGTGGGCAGGTCATGTAGCACGAATGGGGGAGACGAGGAATGCATATAGGATATTGGTGGGAAAGCCAGAAGGATAGAGACCACAAGGAAGACCAAGGCGTAGGTGGGTGGACAATATTAGAATGGATCTTAGAGAGATAGGATGGAATGGTATGGATTGGATAGATCTGGCTCAGGATGGGACCAGTGGAGGGCTCTTGTGAACACAGTAATGAACCTTCGGGTTCCATAAAATGCTGGGAAATTCTTGAGTAGCTGCAGAATTGTGCGGCTCCTCTAGAAGGGCTCAGCTCAATGACTAAGTAAGTAATATTAGAGCATTATATTCTCAAGTCTGTAAATTAACATGTGTGTTAATCGTTATAATAATCGGAACCCGAAATTTTAGCACCGCGAATACCGAAACCAGCGACTGTACATGATTCTAATTCAGTTGCTCTCATCTCCGGTCTCCATGCATACTTGAAATTGTTCTATTTCTTCCTCGGACATGAAATAATTTCGACGAGGATTTCCAGACAAAATTTCTGTGTTTATTCCTTGTTCATCCCATCCTTACCTCTTGCTCAAATAATTAAATGTAGTAGTACCTTATTCTGCGACTTCCTGGATTAAGAATTTTCGGTCTTACATTCCTATTATATTTACACCCATTTGACTTAAACTCCGAATTTTAGGTCCTATGGATTGAAACTGGAATTTAGGACATTGGACAGCTTCTTCGGAAATCTTAAGACTTTAGTGACCCTCCTCCTGGGTCATCGGCCAAGCTGAATGCCTTTCATCATCTCCCGTAACCAGGGCTGTAATCTCTGAATTGGAACAGGGACTGGAGATTTGGGATTTTGCTAAAATATCAGTTTAATTATCTATACGGTCTGTAAATGCTCTGGAAGCACGAATCGTAACTCTTAAACAATCCATGGTAAAATATTTACTTATTTGCTGTTGATACCTGTAAGAATTTAAATGTTTAATATCCGTGTTTTAACGTCCTGTGTTGATTTTTTAATGAAAGCAATAGAGATAACCCTTTTCTTCTCGTGGGGTGAGGCCGAGTCCACTTGGTACTATGGCTACTCTTTGTCATATGTACCCGCCCCAGATGATAAATGATGATTTTGGAGCAATCAGTGGTATGCGAATTGGAAAGGGAAACCGAAGTACTCGGAGAAAACCAGCCCCAATGCATCTTTGTCCACCGTAAATCACACATGACCGGTCTCGAACCAGGGTCGCCTGCGGCTAACCATCTGAGCTATGGCACGGCCTTAGAATTATACCTTACTGGGTGTTACAATATTGAAAATTTGGTCTCAACCTTCATGTCCAGAAGCGAAACTTTATACGTACCCTGTTATGATGAACTCGACTCACAAATTTTCGACTTAGTCCTCCTTTTAGTATCGCATTGATTCGTAAGTCCGAAGAACGAATTTATGACATTTTATGTACGAGTGTCTTGTAACTGAAAACATTTGCACCACCCTACAGTTACGCAGTTGGCCTCGCATTACGAATTCCAGTAACGCTAAAGGAGACGCTTAGTCACATTCTAAGGGTTTCGGTGCTTTTACCTGAACTATGCCTGATGCATTGGCCCACAGATTCATTTCTACATAGGTGCGTTCACAGGGTCTTTTGAAGTCCACTTCGAGAGGAAGTAATTATACAACTTTAGTTAGCGCAGTTCAAGAGAGGTCGTCCTTTGATCTTCTGCAGTATTTCCACAGCCTCAACTCGTAGCTACTGTACAGTCTCCACAGAATATTAGACAAATATTGACATTCAAAACTATATTGTCAGATACTTTCTTCCCTCCCCTCGGCGCCACAGCGCAGGGCGAGCTTTGACTTCCTGAACAACCTGCTTCCAGTCTTCTTTATTCTTCATCCAACCTAGGCTGATTGTCTGGTTTGTGAACAATTTAATTTTTACGGCGTGAGATTGTTAGCCTCACGTCCAACCCCCAACCTGGAGGACCAGGTTATCCCTCTTCGTCTGACTCCTATTCTTTGACCTGCCCGACATTGGTGACCCTACCAGTAGTTACGCTACCGCCGGCATAGCTCTCAAGGTCTCAGGAGAACTCAAACCCCACCACCACGATAAGGTAGAGACACCATCGGTGGGGATATTATCAGATTAATCGTATAATTAAGAGCATTCATTACGGATATAACAAAGATTGCTTTTGGCGTATCAAAATATTTGCCGCATTACATTTATGTCTTGTGTTAGCTCTTCAGTAGTTCTCTTTGAACGTAAAAGCAGGGTGTTAACAGAGTGGGTTCTGAACGAAGAGACGAGATTCTTTGTACAGAGGATGTGAAAAGACATTATTCTGTAAGTCAGTTTCCTTTTCGAGAGAGCCTCTTCTCTTATCTTGTTGGAACATTCGGTGTGACGCGTCATTAGATCCACGGCGTCTTGTCTCCTCCTCCTGCCTACTGCCCAGATTACCAGGCGGACATGGGAGACAGAGTGTTGTGGAAAAGGGGGGGGGGGAGTCACCCGGAGGTCCACCGCACATTACGTACCTTGGATACAGCAACTTAATGACAAAGAACTTTTTTTTTTGCACAAAAAGGAAAACAACAAAGTTGCCATATCTTATTCTTGACAGTAGATCAGGAAGGGATAATACGTGACGCGGAAAATGAACTTGATACGGCAAGGATGGTGTCTTCGTTAATTATAAAAACTGCAAATTTGTAAGACAGACAGACTGTTCATGACCGTGAAAATGAACGTAGCTGATGAAACACCCAAATCTATAGCGATATTGGGTTTTCGGACTTTATCCACCGTCCTGGTTTTAAGATAACTAAGAAAAACACGACGTTTCGGAAACTGGATCTGTTTCCGTCCTCAGGTGAGGGAAAACACCTATTCTGTTGGGTCCCTTAGAAAGAGCTAGCCTGAATCACTGGACTCTAGCTAGCTCTTTCTATGGGACCCAACAGAATAGGTGTTCTCCCTCACCTGAGGACGGAAACATATCCAGTTTCCGAAACGTCGTGTTTTCCTTAGTTATCTTAAAACCAGGACGATGGATAAAGTCCTAAAACCCAATATCTCTGTGTGTTATACACCATCGTCAGAATCCTATAGTAACTACCCAAATCTATATGTCATTTTGAAGAGTAAGGAAATGTTATCATTGTTGAAATTGTAAGAATATTTTCTTTGAAACCGAAACATACAAATCTATAAATCAACTAAACCATGAGAATACTTCATAGCTTCTGGAACCATAGCTGGACGATCCAGGGTTCGGAATTCGAGTCCCTGTAGGGTCAAGAATTTTCCCATCTCCACGTCGTCCAGATAGGGTCAGGGGTCCACACAACCTCCTGTCCTATCCCCGGGGGTAAAGAGGCCAGGACGTGAAGCTAACCACTCACCTCCAGTTAATACCGAGGGCAAGAAAATTTTGGTCTATACATCCATTTCTTGGCGTAGTGCTTAATTAGTTCAGCACAGGGATAACTTTACCTTACTGCGACTTAAAAACTTCTAAGTCGATAATATCATAAAAATACTTTTATCGAAACTGAATCGTACAGGTGTGTACGTAAGTAGACAAAGTTAT